CACAGGGTTTGGCTGAAGTCATGTGAAAGGTGCCTGGAGGTATCCCTGGAGGGGTCAGGCAGCTTGGGAGCAGTCAGGGCAGGAGTCGCTTACAGCAAAACATTTCCAAAAAAACTAGCCTCCTCTGAAACCAGAGGGGTCAGCTGGGCTCTCACTCCTGGGAGATGATGAGGGAAGAGACGAGATGAAATCACACATGCTTGGAGCTGGCATCACAGTGCCTCCGCCTCCTGAGGTCAGAACCCAAGGCTCATTCCCAAGACAGATCACCTTTGTCCTGGTTCCTCCGTTCTCATTGTTAACTGCTTCTGGGAGGCCTGCAAGTAGATTTGTCTGGAAAGATTAGCTAGTGAGTCAGGAGGCAGTCTGCACTGACAAGTTCTAGCTTGTGCATCAGGTACCAAACAAAGGACGAGAACTTGGACAAAATTTCTGCCTCAAAATGCACTGAGGACCAAATTCACAGAGTTTCAAGGCAGTCAAGTACCAATGATGTATGACTGTATTTGAATCCAGCATGGCAGGCTTGCTCACAAAATCTTGAGGAAACCAAGACTCATCAACTCAAGCACCTCCCCTAGGTACTGCAAACCTGTGAAGGACAGTCCCAGAAACCACCATTCCCAGAAGATGGAAAGGCCACTTCCTACATCAGTTGTGAGGATGAACACCGTGTGATAGCAGGAGTTGGGGGAAGCTCACCCTCCTGGTGGTAGATTTCCCTCTTTTCCCATATTAAAGTGGAAATTTCCAGCTCAGTTCTATCCTTCCCTGAAGAAATCTGATACTAGTATGCCTGATTTCAAGCTCTGCCTGGCCTGATGGGGCCCATGCCTGGCAGTGGGCTGGAGTGACAGTTGATCCCACTGAGCCAACTCAAATCTTTCCTGGTATCTAAACAGCCAGGGAGAACCGGAGCTTGAGAGGTGACTCAGATTTTTCCTCCTCAGAGAAGAAAGGAGGGCACAAATAGCTCTCAACACTGGAGAGGCCCAGGTGCCCTGAGCAAACAGTGCTTCGTATTTGCTCTTCCTTTCACTTGACACTCTTGAGAGGGTGTTGTGAAACACGCACTGAGACACTTGCACGTCTGTGGAGGACAACAGAGTGGGGGGTGGGCGGAGATAATCTTTTACTCATGAGAGTCTCCGTTTTCTGAAGAGCAGGACTATCTCGTCTGAAAGTGATGAGTGTGAAAATACAAATGACAGAAACAGATATGGGAGAAAGAACGTCTCAGAGGAAGGTGGCAGAGACCACAGAAAGGGAGGCAATTCAAACACGTATATCAGAGGCTCAGAGGCCCAGAGGCCAGGGGGCACTGAGGGAAGAGATTGTTACGGATCTTTGGAAGGTGAAATGTCATGTAATTCTTTGTGAAACCTTCAGTAAAATCTCCTTTACCCGCCACCCTCCCAACACTGATTGAACCTGGGGCCTTGCATATCTCCACACTCCTCTGAGCTACACCCACAGCTTCATCAGTACTTTTCAACTGTGGTAGGAGAGGAGCTCTGAATGCTAAGCTTGTAGCTCAATAAAAGGCCCAACCGCATTCGGAGGCTGAGTATGAACATAGCGAAAGCGTCACGGGCTAAAGGACTAGGTGTGCAAGGCCTAACAGGTGCTCAAGAGAGGGGTGAATCAGAGAAGGCCCTGTGAGAGAGGTAGCACCACAGGGCTTTAACAGATATGCAACCTCTCTGTTACCTTTGAGGGCAGGGGAAGACTCTGACTGCTGGAAGCCAACAAGAGGACAGAGGGGTTTGCAAATATTTGGTATACTGAGGGCATGATCCTAACTGTGGTCTGCGGGGAAGAGCAAGCCGTGGATCTCTCAATGCCTGGCTACCTTCAGATCTTCAAGGCAGAAGTGGACACCACAGAGAGTGGAATAAAGACCACAGATGGATATAGCACAATTATCGTCTCTCTGAAAGGGGAAGAAACAGGTCTGAAACCCCCTCCTTCACCATCATAGCTTTACCTCACTGAATTTCAACAGATTTCCCCTGAAATTAATATTTATGTTTCTATTCTGTTCCCAGCTGAGGAAAAGGCTGCTACTCAGCCACGCTCACTGATTTGTGCATTTGGCATAATCTAGGATTCTGCACCAGCACTGAAAGCACCTATATTCTCTGCCTGAAGAGTCCTACACCTGCCAGCAAGCCTCAGCCTGGGCACCAGGGCTGCTTGTCTCCATGGCTACCTGCCTTTATGTTTCCCTCCCTCTATCCTCTCTCAGAGTTCTGAGTGATCCCCTTGTACTTATTGTCCCCAAAAGGATTTTGGGACCTATTCATGCCAAGGAATCCCAAAGCAGATCCAGAGAGTCTGGTGGTATTTTGCTTTTTAATTTTTTAAACTTTATTTAAAGACAAGTCTCACTATGTAGTTCAGGCTGGCCTTGAACTCAGTATGAGGCTGGTCTCACATTCTTGGTGATCCTCCTGCCTCAGTCCCCTGGGATTGTAGGTGTGTACTACAACACCTGGCTAGTGGTGCTTTTTGTAATTGATTTAATAAACTTGTTATGCTTTTTTCTTGTTAAACTGTCTTTTGTTTTAGGAATGTGGAAAGGGCCACATTGTTGAGAAAAAGTATCGCATTTTTTTCTCCCTACAATTTCTTTCTTTTTCTCCCTCCCTACAATTTCTGGCACCCAATATGGGGCATCATGGGTTGGCAACAGTGCCACCTGGTAAATGCACCTTGTTGATTCCAGCAGTTACAGTTATGAGATCCTGGACCTCTGACAAGAGCCAGAAAAAGTTAAGGATTCTTAGGCCAGGCAGTGGGGCATGCCTGTAATCCCAGCACTCAGGAGGCTGAGGTCAGAGCACCATGGTGAATCTGAGGCCAGCCTGAACTACATAGGGAGATCCTGTCCCAAAAAAAAAAAAGAAAAGAAAAGAAAAAGAAACCTTACACCAGCCTCTCAGATCTTTGCCTGTGGGGTCTGGTAAAGCCAGAGCAGTTTTAAGCCTAGCCAGGAACCCTGAGGGGGTTAAGGAAATCTTTCCTTCCCTACAGTAGGTACCCAATAAATAGCAAGTATTTTCATTTTCAATAATTTTAATAAGACAGAAAAGAGACCTAGAAAGTATAAAAAGGATACATGCTTTCTATATTATTTCCTGGTGACATCCTCTCATGTAGTGGAAACACGACTGTATTCATGAAGTGTAGAAGAGAAATGAGTTATAACTTTGATATCTAAAACAAGTTAACTGGTGGAAAAGCAGGGTATGCTCGTCCTTGCAAAAAAAATATTTGCAGAAACAAAATGACAAAATAATGTCCTTTGGGGAATCGATCTGCCTTGGAAAATTGATTTGCAACAGTTTTGTTCAACTTGCATGTATGTTTAAAATGAAAAGGTCACCTAGGATTCCATACAGTGACAACAGATTTACAAAGAAAGGAAGTTTCTCTTGAGCCTTCTAGGGACCACTCCTTTCCACCCCTCAGGTCATCAGATTTCCCAATTGGACAGGAAATGATCAAAAGAGATCTCTAGGCTTTATTCCAAGCTCTTTGGTCCTGGGAATGCCTAGTCCTGTGTTTTCGCCTAGGGTCTTGGGGAGGACGTTGAGGACAATAAGCCTGCTACGTATGTTTCTCACTAGGTTCCTTGCACAATCTGCATTTCCGTAACCCGGCTCTGCAACACAACCTTTCCACTCGGCAGGCTTGGAACTACAATTCCCAGCGTGCCCCGCACGGAGCCCGCCCTCCGGATTGGCCAGGGCCGGGTGACGCTCAGTGTTTTGGCCAGGACGGTCACATGTTTCCTTTGTTGTGAGCTGCAACGGAGACTGCTGGCTCTCTGGGACGCCGGCGCTGAGTGGGCGCTGCTCCGCTGGCCGCCTCCAGCCGACTCCGAGAGACACTCCGGGGGTGACAGCTCCAGACCGGACGCAAG